TGATTAAAATCACGCTAAAGGATTGCAGATTCATGGGTAAAAACTGGCTTCTACTGCGAGTGATTTCATGAAACATTGAAACGCTAATTGCCTTAAGCGTGTTGTTCTAGTTTCCAGAGGTGACGAAGGTCATGCGGTGGCTGTGCAGTGTGACTGCTAAAGCTAAAAAACATGCAATTAAAAGATGCTCAGCCTGTGACGGCAACTTAACGGATGTACATGATTCAAGGTCAGAGCCTTTCATTCCTGTTTTTTTCTTTAGTTTTAATTCGGTGGAAAGCCTGTTTCTCCGAGGGGAAGGTGTGGTTGTGTTTTCTAGATGTGATTGTGATAACTGTGACTCAAATTACATCCCCAAGCACCAGCATCAAAGCATGGCAGCCTGGCGTGATGGCATGCAGACGGGGCGGAGCCCAACACGGGCCCCTCGGACCACTGGAACAAAACCAATCTACTGTTATGGGTCGACTGCCCAGAAAACCTGGAATAGTTCACCCAAAAATGAAAATTGGCTGAAAATGTGCTCATCCTCAGGCCATCTGAGATGTAGATTAGTTTGCTTCTTCATCAGATTTGGAGAAATGTAGCATTGCATCAGTGTCTCAGCAATGGATGCTCCGCGATTAGTTTTAGCTTTTGTCTTCTCCAGATGGTAACTGATGGACTGGAGTGCTGTGGATTATTTGTGGATTATTGTGATGTTTTTATCAGCTGTTTGGACTCTCATTCTGACGGCACCCATTCACTGCAGAGCATCCATTGCTGAGACACTGATGCAATGCTACATTTCTCCAAATCAGTTCCCATGAACAAACAAACGTTTTCAGCAAATTTTCATTTTTGGGTGAACTATTCCTTTAAGGCAAGACACAATAGATGAATAGGGTAAAAATAGGCATTACCATGTTTTCCCCAGTTCATTAAAAAGACATGCTATGGAAGCAAAATAGGCTGAAATCTCAAAATTAACCAGTGCATGAAAAAATAAATGGTTTTGCCTTATAGACAGACAGGGCTGATGGGCGCAGCATGTGCTGCATTATGTCGTGGGTTTGATGCTGGAGTGAATGTGAACTGTTTTCTGTCTCTTTTGTCCACTAGAGATCGTGAATCAGTGGGTTGTTGGCGTGAGGGCATTTTTTGTCATGTTTTTCCATTTCTCGAGAGCTTTTTCACCAGAGAGCCTCTTTTATTTGTTATTTCTGCTGCTGTGGAGGTTGATGAATTGGAGATTGCATGCGGGGACGGCATGCCGAAGCCTTTCATGCCACCGTCTGATCTCTCAGGTCTGCCGCGAGACACACAGTTTCCTCCATTCTAGGAGGCAGTTTTTGGGTCAAGGTCTGGATCGCTGGCAGGAGTCGGGGACGTCTTGGTGTCTGTGAGCATTGAGAGGCTTACATGACCATCAGTGGTTTGGCACGAGGACAGCGTTCAAGAAATGTTCAAGTGTGTGTGTTTGGATGCATGTGTGTGTGACTGAATGTGTGTGTGACTGAGATAGTGATCATGCTCTGCAGGGCTGGCAGTCACACCGGGTCATGGTTCTGGTCCACAGCTAATTGTCGAACTGATAAACCTGCCCTGGTTTGCTTAGATACCGTCCGATGGGAAGCTCTCTGAATGCTTTTCCTGTGTTTTTGTGGTGCGCTGCGTCTCTCTGCCCTATAGAGACCGAATGTTAATGCCCTGTGCCAGCTTTTTTTTTTTTTTTTTTTTAAGTACAGCACCATGTGTTTTCATTTTTGTTAAAGAGAGCCAATACGCATTCATAGACTGAAAGCAATAAGCCCCGAGAGGCTGTCTGTTGCAGTGATTTTACCATGGTTAAGAGTGTAGTTAGGCCCAGGCTCAAAGTGGAGAGGTAAATCACTGGTAAAATCGCAGTAATACACAGCAGCAGCAATATCACAAAATACACTAATGTTCAATAAATAATTAGTGGGTCTCACTGAGGCGAATGTTAGTATTACTGCTGCTCAGGCTTAAGGGTTTGAGTAAACGTGAATCTGCTTTATGGTTTTCCTCTGCTGGATGATAAAATAGGTGGAAAAATCCCACAAACGCACACTGAAGAATCAGAAGATAACAGATACTTGAGGGTGTAGGACTCTTTTCATTCCAGACGGGAAGAAAACACCTAGAAACCATCCAGAGCACACCCAGAAAGCTTGGTAGATGACTTACACATTGTAGTTACTGATTACAGATTACATGATGAAAACTGTAGTTAGTAGCGTAATCTAGGTTACTCATTTTAGGTAATGTAATCTGACTACTTTTAGATTACTTTTTTTATCTAACTTGTTTTAAACTTACCATTAAATGTACAATTCTGATATAAAAAAGCAAAGCGAAAGAAAATATATTCCATTTTTGATTTCAACATCATAAAATGTTTTAAACATTACATTAAACCATGTTTTTTTAATGTAAACCCATAAAATAATGTAATCCATAAAAAAGTAACTGTAATCTGATTATAAGCATTATAAAATGTAATATACTCTAATTACAAGTGCTTGATTTTTGTAATCGGATAATTATAATACATTTTTTTGTGGTAATAAAAATAGACCTAAGTGAACAATAGCCTTTAAAATGACTTAAAATACGTAATATCAATGAGGCAATAATAATTATTCAAATAAAGTATCAAAAGCAAGTAATCATATGGTTTTATTGAACAAAACTGGTAAAAATGAATGTATTATAAACAATAGAGCTAATGTACATTACGCATTATAGGCTATCAAATGCCTGCAGAGGCACCAACGGCCTGACGACTGTTTTTACACTTTACAGTACGATCTAATCCTTGTTTACAATTGATTAAACAACATTTAATTCAAATGTCTACTTAATCTTTAATATCTGGCCATTTCTTTATGACAGAAATGCTGCAGCCACTGTAATTTCTTGAATATGTGGACATCAAAACATGTAACTCAGAGCGAGGGTTTGAGCTTTTATTTTGAAGTCGCGATGAACAGTTAGCATATTGAGAAAGTTATTGATGTATTTTCCAGTGTTTGCGTAAGTTTATAAATGATTTACTTTATAAATCTGATGCACATTGTTCCCAGATGAACATTATAATAAACCCAAACACACAACAATATGCAGAGATGGAGTTTGAGATGCTCCACGCATGTAAATGATAACAGTTTGTGTGGAGCAGCATTTACTGTGAACAGAGCCGTAATAAAGCGCATTTTAAACCCGCAGCGCATATATTTATTTAACTGAATCGTAGCGTTTGTGAATTCACAATAGCATTATGCTTTATTATGATTTTTAAATGGGTTTAATATATCATGCATCCTTGGAAAACGGTCTCATAATGCATTTCATGGATTCTCGCCACTTCCGGTATTTTGCCAATTACTCGACACGGGCAAAATGCAATCGAGGATTTTTTTTTAAATCGAGTACTCGAATTGAATCGGGGAATCGTGACAGCCCTACTTGCAACCATATAGCCGCTTGTGCACATTACAATTTATAAATGTTTAAATGTAGTTACAGTTTTTGAAAAAGGCTTCAACTTCCCGTTGTTCCGTTCAGTAGGTCATGTGTACTCATAGATGTGTCAGGTGGCCCATGCAGAAGGTCAAGCCGAGGTTACAGCTCCCCTTCAATTAGCAGGTGATTAGAGGCAGGTGTGATTTAGGACCTACATGTGATGGAAAGCAGCCACACTCTACCCAGAATCCCCCGGGGCTCTATGTGCTAATGCAGTCTCACCCGTTCACCTCCATCTCCTCGTTCCCCCAGCACTCAGACACAGGCCCGTTACATTGTGGCTGATATTGATGTGATGTCAATGTTACGTTCTGACAAGGTCTGGACGCGGTTCGGCCGAGGGCACAGAGGTGTGGCCGAAAATCTGCTGTCCTTTCTGTCTCTCGCTCCAGATTTATTCTCACTCCTGTGTAAATAATTGATGTCTGGCGGCCGGTTGTTAAGAATAGAAAGTGTATTTGCAGGTGTCGAACGCCTCTGCGCTTCCCTCTCGTGGAGAGACATGGAGTCAGAGGGCAGATATTAGAACGTGACCGGCAAACACGGGACGTATCAAGCCAAATCAGTCTCAAGTACCGTTTCATAGTCCTCGAAGGGAATGTCGATTGCCTCTTCCTGTTTGCTTTTCTCCGTGAGCCCCGTCGCTCTGCCAGCATCAGATAAATATAGGTTTGTGTTTGATGAGGAAGACACCAGTGAGGCAGGGCTCTGATGAAAGCGAAGTGTAATTACAGGGGACGGTTACCCGTCTGCAGACAAATATCTGTGGAATTAAATAAACCAGATTCCCCCGGTTGAAGAAGACAGCCGCAGGTTTGTGGGAAATGAAATCTCACATATTTAGTCTCAGGAACCAAACATACTGTATGTGAACGCAAACGCTTCTAGCCATACAAGATCAAATACATACAGCACGATTCATAAGTATAAGATACAAAGTTTGAATTTAAATGAATTGCCTACAACATGTTAAAATTGAATGCGAATGAGAGGACAAGGAATTTACTATCTATCTATCTATCTATCTATCTATCTATCTATCTATCTATCTATCTATCTATCTGTCTGTCTGTCTGTCTATCCGATCTACTCGACTGTCTATCCACTTTTATTCATTCAGCAGACATGTCTATCCAAAGCAACTTACAAATGAGGTACAATTAATTTTTACAATGATATTTGCAGTGCACACTAACAAGTTTAAAGTATAAGCTGGACTAGTTCACAAGCAAGAGCAGAAGTGAAATGCAAAAAACAAAGTGCCTTTGTTTTCATGCCTGTTGGAATATATTTCTTTCCTTACATGCACAACCTGCATTTGATTACGGTCTCTCCATGATGCGCATCTGGATCTGTTTCTCTTTAGCTGTCGCGAACAGTAGCTCACAGCCTCGCGGGCAAACACATGAACAATCTCTATAAAACACCTGATGTGTTTGAGACTCACTTCTTCTCATCTTCTCCTCCCTCTGTAGATGACGACTATCTGGGATTGGGTGAACTCCCGGAGACGTTCCCCTCGGATCCGCCCGAGCCGCTCCCACACTTCCTGATGGAGCCGGAGGAGGCGTACATCGTCAAGAACAAGCCCGTTAACCTGTACTGCAAAGCCACGCCGGCCACGCAGATCTACTTCAAGTGCAACAGCGAGTGGGTCCATCAGAAGGAGCACACAGTGGAGGAGCGCGTGGACGAGACCTCAGGTTAGTACCGCCGAGAGTGTTTAGATTTTAATTATGCTATTATATGTTTTTATAATAAGTTTCAAATAATAATATATTTTTAGAACTGTTAATTTCATATTACATAATATTATATTATTATATTTATAACAATATAAATGTTAACATTTTTAAAAATAATGTGTATTTATTAAACATTGTATTATAAATACTGCTTTTTAAAAGTTAATAAAGTATGAATTTATTTTATGTATTTATTATATAAAATATTATGATGAAATGAGATGGCGTATATAATATATTTATTTATTTAACAGAATGCATTTGTCAGTCCAGTTTGTAAACGCATTTCTGTACCAGCGGGGTGTTTTGGGATGGGTTAAAGGGAAAAGCAAAGAGAAAAGCCCACAAATGTGAATGAGAAAGTCTAGCATGCACAGCAGCTCTCGTCCCTAAAAGTCGGTCTTAAAGTCAGAAAATCAAGCAAATGAATAATTCAGAGGAGATTTTTTACGATGCCCCCCACCTTCCTCCAGCCTGTAATGAGAGTGGAATTTCTCAGCCTTGTTAATCTGCGAGGGCCGCAAAGAGAAGGCTGTAAACCCGCGATAGAAAGGGTTCCTTTGGGACACGGACATCATTAGGACTCCAGACGGCAGAGGTTTTGATGCCCAGATCTTCTGTCCGACACACTTCTTTCACACAAACCCTTGGTGACAATCACTCGTGGGACTCGAGGCAGAAGGATCTGGAACATGAGAGACATGGCGGTCCTGAGCGTCCTCTGCAGTTACGGAGCACTTCAGGAGGTCACTTTCAACTCTTCTGTCTCGTTTGCGTCTCATCTGTATTTCTGTTGCTCTCGCTCTGTAGAGTCGAGCGTCTCTCAGCTCATTTTAGCATGTTTTGCCCGTTACTTTAGCGCCGCCGTTTCCTGTGATGACGACATTCAGCGAATCATGAGCCGCTGGCACCTCTAGAACTCAACTGCTATTTCTCTCCATTATCTACGTTTCACACGGAAAAAACAGTTGCCAGTCAGGTTTGAATGTAAATACAGTAAATAGAGTTTTACTTAAAAATAAAAAAATGTTTCACAATTTACACATCATGTAACACATACATTAAATAATTGAATA